GCTGGGGGCCCGCAGCCCTAATGGCCTCTGCCTTGGGACAGACTGGGGCTTGGGAACGTGGGACTGAGAGGCGAGCAGAGGGCAGGTGAAGGGGGCAGCTAGGGACAAACTCTGGGCCTGCTTGGCCATTGCAGCTGTGACAAGCTCTAGCTAGAATCAGGCAGTGACAGGGGCAAAGAAGGGAACTGGGTTTCTTGTAAATACGCAGGAAGAAACCCCAACCAACAGAGCTTGCAAAACCTTTCTTTTCCTCCTCCCTCTTCCTGATTTCATCTCAGATGGAGGGGGTGGTGGAAAAAAGGGATGGAGAAGGAGCTGACAAAATAGCTGCGGCCGGGCCCCTTCACTGGGCACTTGCTCAACACGGAGGATTAGCTGGCTGCTTGGAGTCCGGCCCTAACTGGGCCAAGACTGTGGGTGTGAGTCCTATGGATGGCTTCATTCTGCTCTGTCCAGGAAGATGGCCTGGAGCCCTGACATTGGCCCTCGGCTATGAAGTACACGCCACTGGTCACGTGGCACAGCAGGCACATTCGCCGCTGGATGACTATTAGCCGGGGGCGGGGCTGTTTTTAAGTGGAGGGTACAGCTGTTCCTGGGGTAGTTTCCATTTTGTTTGTGGCTGTGGGGGAGGGGTGTTGAGGGAGTAGGAAATGGCATGAAGGAAATTGTTACTTCCTTTCCAGAGAATTCCAGAAAGGTTTCATGGAGAGCGAGGTATTTCAGGAGAGTTGGCTCTGAGGGACAAGGACTGGAGGAGAGTTTCGCTGTGTGGCCCAGATGACCATCTGGCTCCCATGTTTCCTGGCATGTGTGAAAATGCCACGGGTGTTACCAGCAATTTTGTGAGAGCCACTGGCTCGGCTGAGAGGGTGTAGATTCAAACGCACTCCACGGAGACTGTGGACGTGGCTTGCACATCGGAGCTGTTTCCCTCTATTTTTTTTTTTTTCTTTTCTTTTTTTGAGACAGGGTCTTGCTATGCAGTTCAGGCTGGCCTTGAACTCACTGTGCAGCCCAGGCTGGCCTCGAACTCTCAAAGATCCTCCTGCCTCAGCCTCCCGAGTGCTAAGATGACAGGTGTGCCCCTCCACGCCCGGCTTCTTTCCCCCTAGAGGAGGTCTAGATGAGTGGGTGCCCGACACTGCTTGATGTGTTTCAGCGGCAGCCCTTGGAAGGGTCTGTACCTCTGAAGGGAGCCCAGTTGTAGTGATGCAGAAGCAGCCCAAACCACTTCTGTTTTGCTTTGGTTTTGCAATGCAGTCAGAACCGCAGTGAGCCAGAGGGGTGTATTTGCAGGCTGGGGACGCAGCTGCCTTGGCCTGCTCTTCCCTCCTGTGGCACACATTCATGTATGGCAGCTTCTGGGGGCCATTTATTCTCACAGAGCCGTCACTCTTGGCCCTGCTAGGACAGAGGCTGGGAGTGGACTTTGGAGCTGCCTGTGAGCTGCGCAATGGTGGGGCAGGGCAAGGGAGGAATTTGCCGCCAGTTACTAAGGGTTCCCAAATAATTCCATTCCCTGAGTCAAGTGTCTGCGTGTGACCCCTGAACCCCACTCGCCAGTGAGGCAGTGTCCGGGGTTCTAGGCTACCCAAGCTGTGTCTCAGCCAGAGGGCTCTGGAAGGACCCTGGAGAGGGAGCCCTGGAGTGGGCCTCTCTGTCCTTTGGCAGGTGGGCCTCTGCGGTGGTGGCTTCTTTGGTTTCAAGTTCCTGGGAGAGAGAGGTTATTTTGAGGGACCAGGGGAGAGGGAGTGAACATGCAAATGAGCCTCTCTCCACCTCTCACTTTCAAATCCTCAAACATCTAAAGCAGGAGGGGGAAGCTTTCTGGCCTGGAAGGTTCCATGTGGGGATGGTTCTCACCCTTGGCCAAGACAGCCCCTTATACCCCTTCACCTTAGCTTCAGGCCTGGGGCGGGATGAGATCACCAGGATCAGCCTCCCAAGACCTTACAAGCGTGTGCCAGAGAACCTACACCAGTGGGTCCTCCTTTTTGGCTCTTAGACATGCAGTCACATGAAATGAGGCTGTGGGAATCATCTCTCTCGTGTCAGACCTCTCCCGTTTGCATTGCCAGTCAATGGTTCCATCCAACCCAGTGCAGTGTCTTCCCTCTCCCCTACTTCCCTAGCCGAGTGGACTTTGTGGGCTCACCCAAAGGCCCACAGGCCCCATACCTATTCTGGGGCTGCCTTCCCTTGCTGGGACACACTCAGCGACAGCAGGAGTGCAGCAGAACCCTGGCCAACCCCGCCTGCTCCCGCTTCACCAGGGCCTCTCTGAGCCAGAGGCAGCATTAAGTGAGGGCTTGTCATCCTCACAGAGGCAGCTCAGGCCACCACTGCCACCACCGCAGCCGGGGAGGAGGAACCGACGACGGAGCCTGTGGCTTTGCCGGCCAGACCAGGCAGCCCTTTGACACACAGAGGCTCTCACGCACGTATCTTCACACTTGGGACACATGCACACACCCTGCACACCCACAGCGAGCACAGAGCACGCACCTGGGGAACCAGCAACACAAAAATATACCGACATAACCTCCAAGCTTGCATATTTCTCCTGTTCTCACGTGACAGAGTATATGTACCTGCCTGTATTCAATGTACACATGGCCACACGCTTCCCAGAAAAGGCTGCACTCACAGATACTGACGGATCAGAGAGGGGCAAAGGAGAGTACCATTTGTTTGTTCTTTCTTTTGTTCCCTCTTCCACAAACATGAACTGAGCATCTGCTCCTTGGGAGGCACAGTGCAAGGTGCTAAGGTTTTATCAATGACCAACAAACACAGTAGCCTCTGCCCTGAAGGAGGCCACCGTCTAATGGGGCAGGTAGGGAAGGTCCGTAGAAGTTTCTCTGGCAGAGGACACCAATGATGAGCTTTCAAAAAACAGAAAGGCTGGCCTGTGAAGAGAAGCTCAAGAGACAGCAAACCTGGCAGGAAGGGCCATAGTGGACCGGCCCTGGGGGGAGGGGTGGATGCATGCGGGAGTTTCGTGTTTAGACACAGGAGGATTAGGTGAAAGTGATCAGCTTTCCTTTGATGAATAGGGTTCTGGGGGCAGTCAGCAGAGCATGTGGGAGGACTAGGGAGCTGTGGAAGAATTCGGCCTGGGGGGCCCTCCAGGCACTTAGGCTAAGGGAGACAGACCTTCCAAGCATAAATGGCCCTGCCTTGGGAGCCCAGGCCAAGGAGACCGGGTCACATGCAGAGTCGAGTGGGAGGAGCGAACCAGGACAAGTTGGTCTGAAGGTGCCTCCCCTGGTCCTACTGAGTGTGGGTCTGGCTCACTCTCCTTCAGCAGAAGGGCGACTTGGACCTGACAGGTGGAGCTGACCCAAGCCGAGTGACTTCTCCAGGCATTTTGTTGGGGTGGCTAGAAAGGTGTGGGGGTGAGGCTGGGGTTGGAGAGAGGGTGGGGCCAGCCCTGTGGGCTAACGGAAAGGAAGTGGCAGAGGCTTGGGTGTCTCCTGTGGGGGGAGAGCGGTCATTATGGAGGTCACCCATGGTCCCCCTCCCTTTCCTCCCCTTTGCCCCTCTCTGAAGTTCCTCATTTCTTTCTGGGCCAGGGCAGGGTTTACCACCCTGGCACTGCCCAGGGTGTGTCTTGCAGGTGGGGTTCAGTGATTCGCTCTCTCGTAGGTGGACCCAATTCTTCATGGTTGAATCAGGCTGCTGGCGTAGACATCCGCACACTGAAACATATCGCACACCCCCAGTGTGCCCGAGGGGCCACAGATGTGGTACCTTGAAGTGCAGAGGCCGAGTGTTCAGGGGCCCAGGAGCGGGGAGGCCATGGCTAGGCGAGCAAGGGCTTTGGGAGGCGGCCATGGGTGTGACCATGCTCGGCCGAGCCCAGCCACAAGGGCGCTGACAGCGAGGAATGGAGGCAGGAAGCAGCCGGAGGCCCGGAGGCCATGTGAGCACGGGAGGCATCAGGAGAAGAGTCCTGTGTGGGCTGCAGCAGACAGAGGTTTCCTGGAAAAGGGGCCTCGCGGGCCGGAGGACGGGGAAGATTCCTCGGCCCTTCCCCCAGCCAGGGCTCTCCTCACAAGTTCCCAGGGTGACAGTTTAGTCTTGAAACTGAAAGCAAAGCTGAACCAAGAGCGCAAAGCCACACATCACACAGAGGTCACCCTCTCTGGCAGGCAGTGGAGGAAGGGGGTACAAGCGTGCATGTGGCCCACCTGTCTCATAGGCCCCCTCACTCTGGCCCCGACACAGTACAACCCCCGCAGAGGGACACTTCTTCCTCAGTAGACTCTGCCCTTCAGAGCTCACTGGCGGCCACTCCCAAGGTACATTGAGCCTCAGAGCACCCTGCATGCCCTGTGTCCCCTCGCGGAGCCCCCGCCACGAATTCTTTCCTAAGCCAAAGGAGTTATGGGGATTCTTCACACCATCGCCCCTGCCTGAGGTCATCCTGGGTGCCCTGCCATTTCCTGCAGCCATGTACTGAGGGGAAAGATCCCCAAGCCAGCTGTAATCTCAGTACTCTGGGAGACTGAGGTAGGACAATGGCAAGTTGGAGCCCAGCTTGAGGAATTTAGTGAGCAATTGTCTCAAAATAAAATGAAATAAGCTGGGCATGTAGCTCAGTGTGAAGGCCCTGAGTTCAATCCCCAGCCACACCATAAATAAAGTAATAAAAATAAATAAGCACCAAACCCCTTCTATCTGTTGCCTTCTCCAGGAGAAGCGGCAGGCAGAGGGGCAGCTGCGTGTCTTTGGGCCTGGCCAGAAAGCAGATGCTGGTGACCCCGACTGGCACCAAGGTTCAGCTTCTTCCTGCTGGAAACAATTCAGCCGACTCCTTCTTTTCTTTCCTTCCTTCCCTGCTTCCTTTCTTCTCCATCGGCCTCCCCTTTCCATCAGACCTGTACTGGTCTTCTGCCTGGCATGGCACGGTCCCTCAGGTTCACCAGCTGTCCTGGCAACAGAACCCGAGGAAGCTGACTTACTCATGGTCTCCATCTCTCCCTTCTCCCTAGCTCGCTCCTGTGGTTGGCCCAGTATGCAGTCTTGAGCCTGCTGGAGGCCACCCCCTACTCCAGCTCTCTACGTGGCTGGGGGAGGCACTAAGCATCTCCTCACTAAGAAAGCACTGCAGCTCCAGAGAGCTTGGGAGACCTGCTGTCAGCTCTCCGAGCGGACAGTATGGCCATTACCCTACAGCCCAGTGACCTGATCTTTGAGTTTGCAAGCAACGGAATGGATGACATCCACCAGGTATGGTCCGGGAGAATGAAGTCCAGTGGGCTGGCTGGCTAGCCAGTCAGCAAATATTGATCAAGCACCTACTATGTTCAGGGCACTGGACCCGTGTGGCAGCCAGCCTGCGCACCAGCTCCTCACTCATGTAGCCAGGTGGGAGTCATCGGATGGTCATTCAGGGAGCTGGCTGCTCACCAATCCAAGTGGCTGCTAAATAATCAGCTGAGTTGTTGGTCAGTCAGCAGCAGGGACTGAAGTCACAAGGCGTGCTCTGATGATTGTAAGGGGTTTTGACCGCTTCCTTCTCCCCCAGGGTGACACTGAGAAAGGTGCTGGGATGAACACATAGCAAGAGGGCCCCTGCCAGCTGAAACTGCAGGGTAGAGTCCAAGCCCTGGCATCTTCAGATGCCTGGCTCTAGCCCAGTTGATGGGTTCTTTTCAGCTTCCACCTGAGGATTCAGGGTAAGCCTGACGATTCAGGCAGAAGCCTCTCCTCCCAGTCTACAGAGAGACTTAAAGCCATGGGGTCTTGTGGGAGGAAGGTGGAAAACAGGATAGGATTCTGGCACTCAGGTACCCACGGCTCCATACCTTGCTCTGCACTGAGACTACGAGGTCCCATTTTCCATGCACTTAGTTGTCCCCATTGGATGGTGTCCTGGCATACTCATCACTACCCTCCTTTCCCCTCCTTCTACACAGTGGAGAAAGAGGAGGCAGTCATGGAAGTTGGAATCGGGAACCTTAGGTTTTGATCCTAGTTTGGCCACAGTGTCGCCTGGCCAAGCCCTGTCTCCTACCGTATCTGGCTGCTATCTCCCTGCCTTCGCCAAGAGATCTGCCTGGATTACCTCTGAGGCAACCCAGCCTAAGCAATGCGCTTTATCCTAAATCCTTGCAAGGACGAAGAGATCCCGTCTCCACTGGCCTACCAAAGGCTGCCCTCTAATGGGCACTGAGCGCATAGTACTTTCTGTCCTGTGTGCTCCGGCCAAGCTTGCTTGATGTTATTGAGCCCTCTGGTGTGCCTAGCCTTGTGAAAGAAAGGCTGCACATGAAGGAGACGGAAGGAAAACTCCGAATTTACCTGGATTCTCAGTGCTACCTGCCATTCTCCACTTGCTCCTAGTCTGCTCGGGAACTTTTCAGGTCTTCCTAGAGGCTGTCCTCACCTCCCAAGTGGTCTTGCACCCTCGGCGGAAGCCTCTCCCCGCAACCTATGGAGAGGCCCAAAGCCAAGGGTGCCTGCAGTTTCCCTCTTTTATCCCTTTTATCTATAACATCTCATATTCTTATTTCCTTCCCACTGGCATAGGACAGAAAAGTATTCCTCTTCCCTTCCAGGTAATTCCTACCCCTGTATTTGATCTCCTGCCCTTTTTTTTTTTTTTTTTTAAGATCTGAAGCCATCAACCACATTCCCTTTCTCATGTATATTTCAGACATTCCAGATCTTTCTCTTCATTTTAGAACATCTTCAGGTCTCTCCAACCCTAAAAGGAAACCTTCCCTCCTTTCTGGCCTGCTGCTTCAGAATACCACCTTCTTTTTCAAATTACTATTTTTTGTGGTTTGTACCCAGGGCCTTCACGTTGAGCCACATCCCAAGCCCTTTTTAGTTTTCATTTTTGAGGCAGGGTCTCACTAAGTTGCCCAGACTGAGCTTGAACTTGCAATTCTCTTGCCTCGGCCTCCCAGAGTGCTGGGATTATAGTCTAAGCCTTTCACTTTTCTTAGGAAACCATTTTCTGTTGTGAAATTTATCATGAATACAGAAGAGTACATAAATCATTGATAGGTAGATAGACCAAAGAGTGAACATACATGTACTCGCCACCAGGTTAAAAAATAAAACATTACTAGTCTCCTAGAAGCCTTTGATGCCTAACACTTAATGAGAATTTACTCCATGCTAGGTCCTGTTCTGAGTGCATAATGTGTATTGATCAGTTTAAACAATCCTATGGGGTCAATATTAAGAGTATCCCAATTTTATAAATGAGAAAACTGATACACAGAAATATAGGTAACTTTCCTAAGGTCACACTGCTAGTGAGTAAATAGACCAGCTTGTATTTTTTTTTCTTTGAGACAGGGTCTTGCTATGTAGCCGAAGTTGGCCTTAAACTCACTATGTAGCCCAGGCTGGCTTCAAACTCGTGGCAATCCTCCTGCCTCTATTCCTGAGTGCTGGGACCACAGGCAAGCACCACCATGCCTGGCCTCCAGCTTGGTTTCAAACTCAAGCAGTCTGGCCCTAGCTCAGCACAATCTGATAGAATTTTCCGGAATGCTAGCAATGCTGTTCAATATTTGAATTATCTAGTGTAAGGCTATTACATGTTGCTGCAGAGCACTTGAAATGTAGCTAGTGTAACTGAACGGCTGAAGTTTTATCTTCCATTTTTTTCTCTTCTGTATCTGGCCTCAAACTCACAATCTTCCTGCTTCAGCCTCCTTAGTGCTGTGATTATAGGTGTGCACCACTATGCCCAGCTCTGAAGTTGTATCCTCTCTGAGATCTCATATCACCAGGCTTGGGATCCTAGTGCTCCCCTGAAGTCACACCAGCCAGAGCAGTTTTCCAGTGGTCAAACCCAAAGCCTTTAGTCAATTTATACTCTTCTAAATTCCTCGGAAACATTAGAAGAAGGACCATTCTCAATCTTTTTTTTCATGAATGAAGATTTAACATTCCCATGAAAGAAAATTTGGAAATTACAGAAAAATAGAAAGTGAAAAAAAAAATCATCCAAAGTCCAACCACCAAAATGTAACTACAGTTGACAGCCTAGTATATTTCCTTTTATCTGGAATTTAAAACAAAAATCATGTGGTGGCATACACATAATCCCAGCTATTCAGGAGGCCGAGGCGGAAGGATCAAAAGCTCAATGACAGCCTAGGTAACTTAGCAAGACTACATTCAAAACTAAAAAATAAAAAGGTGTTGGGCCAGGCGTGGTGGTGCACACCTGTAATCCCAGCACTTGGGAGGCTGAGGCAGGAGGATCGTTGTGAGTTGGAGACCAGCCTGGGCTACAAAGTGAGCTCCAGGCCAGCCTGAACTGCATAGCGAGACCCTGTCTCAAAAAGACAAAAAATAAAATAAAATAAAATAAAATAAAATAAAATAAAAAGGTAGAGGAGATAGCTCAGTGATAGTTCATTGCCCAGTACCCCTGCCCCACATACACTAGGACTGGGTGTAGGTCAGTGGTAGAGTGCTTGCCTAGCATGCACAAGGCCCTGGGTTTGATCTCTAGTACAAGGAATGAATGAATGACTATGGGGGATTGATATGACCACAATATATGCACTGAAACTCCCTCAAATAAAGTGAAACTATGTGGCAAGGTGAGGCAAGGAGGTCATGAGGGCAAAATGACCAAAGTATGTTATGTGCATGTAAGAATCTGCCAGAATGACACTTATTCATCTGTACATCCAATATGCCATCATAAAAAAGAGGTGAAACAAAAAGTTAGGGTTGGGGTGTAGCTCAGTGATACAGTACTTGCCGAGCATTCATGAGGCCCTGGGTTTCATCTCCAGGATTGCTGATAATAATAATAAACAAATACGATTACTCTCCTTTTTAATTTAATTAAATTAATTAATTAATTAATTTTTGGAGACAAGGTCTCACTATGTAGCCCAGGCTGGCCTTGAACTTACAGTGATCCTCCTGAGTGCTGGGATTACAGGTGTGTGCCACCACGCCTGGCCAACACTCCTTTTTTATTTAGCTTTGTTTCATTTCGGAATAACAATGCTCTCCAGGCGCTGAATTCTTGTCTTGAGTAACTTCTCTACTCTGAAGGATATGATGGCCACCTGCTCCCTTTAAAGCTCTTGGACATTTGTTTCTGACTCCCTGACAGGTGCCTCCACTTTAGATCTCCCAAAGGTACCTCAAACTCACCATATCTAGACATTACCCCTTACCTTTCTCCAAAAACCTCACTTTCCTCTTCCTGGGTCCACCTCAAACATGCGCAGTCACCCATGTACCTGCCGAATTAAGCTGACGATGAAAACCTCTCCCCAGTCCAAGCAGTGATTGGCTCTGACCTTTGTGCCTCTAGAATGGCTCTGACTTCATCACCACTCTCACTGTCACAGACTTTGCTCTAAACTGTCTGGGTCCCGAAACATGACCCTAGGCTGAGTCCCTCACCCCTTAACCTTGTCATCAACTAATGCTTTCCCACTGGCCTCATAAAGAGCCTAACCCTTCTCAAGAACTGAGTCCCAAGTCCAGGTAACGGATTAGCCCAACCAATTAAAATGCTTGCCCAGGCTGGGGGACAGCTCAGAGGTACAGTGCATCCTCACTGTAGGAGCCCCTGGTTTCCCCTCCAGTGCTAGAGATGGAACCCAGGGCCTCACACATGCTAGGCAAGTACTCTATTACTGAGCTACACCCACAATCATTTTGGGGGGGACAGGGTTTGAGACAGGGTCTCACTATGTAGTGCAAGCTGGCCTTGAACTCACAATGATCCTCCTGCCTCAGCCTCCTGAGTGTTGGGATTATAGGTGTGTGCCACCAGGCCCGATGGCCTTAATCCTTTTTTAAAAGGATTGTATTTTGAGACAGGGTCTCACTAAGTTGTGCTGGCCTCAAACTTGTGATCCTCTATCTTAGCTTCCCAAGTTGCTGGGATTACAGGTGCATGCCCGTGTCACAGGCTAAGGCCCTCAGTTTGGTCCCCCGTGCCACTCACACAAATGCTTGCCTTTGGTTGAGTGTAGATTGGGAAGAGCTGAGCCATCTCTTTTAATTAAGAGCCCGCTGAAAGCATCACCTAGTGAGGCTGAATCTAGAGCAACCTCATCTCAGCCGGAGGGCTGCAAGAAGTAGGAATTTGCAGGAAGGGCCAAAGGCTGATAGGGAGGGCTTCCGGGAAGAGGTAGGTAGCCTTGAACCAGATCCCTATCTCCTCCCTAGCTAGAAGACCCTTCGGTGTTCCCAGCTGTGATCGTGGAGCAGGTACCCTACCCCGAATTACTGCATCTGTACTCAGGACTGGAGCTGGATGACGTTCACAATGGCATCATAACAGATGGGACCTTGTGCATGACTCAAGACCAGATCCTGGAGGGCAGCTTTTTGCTGGCAGGTCTGTTCCCTTTCCGGGAAGGGGAGGTGTGGTGGAGGTGGAGAAAGGGTTCTTCTGTCTCGGGGAATGGCTGCCCATGATAGCTGTGAGTAACCCCACCCAGAATGGGCAAGGCCTGTAACAAAAGGTCAATGCCACTTCACGGAGGAGAAGCAGCTCAGTTCACTGGAATTCTCTAGATGAAGTAGGACGAGGAGGAGTGGGAAGCTGCTGAGGGGTGGGGGATTAGGGCAGAGGGCACGCTGGTCCCTCTCAGGCTGCCCCCGGGTCGCTGTGTCTCCTCTTCTTACCACTCTGTTGGCTCGGGTTGGCCCTGATTATAGCTGTACTGTGCCCTGAGGGAACTTTTCTTCTCCCCCTACCTCATGAAATGTGGGACCAGATGACAATGAGGCCACCTCACACACCATGGCAACCACTGAAGTCTTACTCAACGTGGAATCTCCCAACAACATCCTGGATGAGAAGCAGATCTGTAAGTTTGAATCCCTGTGCTTTAACTCAAAACAACTAAACGACTCCTTTTGAAAATGTCACATCCTGCTGGGTGTGGTGACGCAAGCCTGTAATCCCAGAGCTCTGGGAGGCTGATACAGGGTTGCAAGTTCGAGCTTAGCCTGTGCAAGATAGTGACCTAGCATGACCCTGTCTCAAAATAAAAAATAAAAAAAAAAAGCTGGGGACATAGCTCAGTGTGAAGGCTGCGGGTTTAATTTCCAGTAACACGCGCGCGTGCGCACACACACACACACACACACACACACAAACACACAAAAGAAATCTTGGTGGCTGAGGCGAGAGAATCACAAGTTTGAGCCCAGCTTGGGCAACTGAGTGACTTCGTGAGACCCTGTCTCTTAAGTACAAAGGCTCTGAGTTCAATCCCCAGTACTGAAAAAAAAAAGTCACATCTGTATGCTAGATTTCCAGGTGCATGCACTGGTGGGCTAGGTAGTTACACCTACCAATATATGTGTGAACACACTCAGGCTGGGACTGGCAGGAAGGTACCAGGCACCAGAGATAAGGAAAAGATGGCTAGGGTGATTTTTGTGTTTTATCACATATTTATTTATTTATTTATTTATTTTTGAGACAGGGTCTTACTACATAGTTCATCATGCTGGCCTTGAACTCACTATGGCTAGACTCTAACTCACCATGATCCTCCTGCCTCAGCCTCCTGAGTGCTGAGATTACAGGTGTGCCCAGCTCCCAATTTTAAATAGTGGTAAAATACCGTACCATAACATGTACCACCTTAGTCATTTTTTGTTTGGTACCGGGAATCGAACTCAGGACCTTGTGCTTGCCAGGCAGGTGCTTGTGCCACTGAGCTATATCCCCAGCCCTACCTTAGTCATTTTAAAGTGTATAGTTCAGCAGTGGTAAGTACATTTGCAGCCATCTCCACCATCCATCTCAGAACTCTTCCCATCCTGTAACCCTGAAATTGTCCCCATTAAACAACTGCCTTGCCCCATGCCCCGTGCCCTAGCCTCAGCAGCTGCCATCCTACCTCTCTCTCTGTGAGCTTGATTATTCTGGGTACTGCATGTAAGAGGCATCATACAGTATGGTGCTTTTGGGGGCTGATTTATTTCACATAGCATGTCTTCAAGGCCTCTCCATGGGCAGCATGTGTCAGAATGTCCTTCCTCTTTAAGGCTGGGCAACACAATAGTGGCCAGGGAACTTTTCAGGCCCTCACTCTGTGGCTTATTTAGAAACGTCCCAGGCTTGGAATGCCGTTCCCCAATTGGGATCACCCATTCCCCGATCTTGGAGGGCAGCCCCCAAAAGGGCTCATCTGATCTCCCTGGTTCCCCATTTCCCCAGAAGACCCCCAAGGCCCCCCCGCCTCCCAGTGCCCTCTCAGGCAGATGCCCTAACACTGCAGGAGGGTCCCCCCTCAGATGCACTTGCCCAAGCAGGTGCTGTGATATAGTGAGGGAAAGGAAAGCCCTAATGCTGAGAGGTAGGAGATTTCTCCCCTCATCTCTCACTAGTATTCAGCCAGGACTCAACAAATATTTACTGAGTGCCTACAAGTACCAGGCCCTGCCTTTCTGTGTGACTTGCCATCCCGGGGTCTGTCTCAGCTGCCTGTGTGGAAAGCAGAGGAACTGCACTATATGCTTTCTAAGGGCCTTTCGAGTTGTCAAATGAGGGAACAACTAACTCAAGGTGGCCCTTTACCCTGGACACTGCCTGAGACTTCCTCTCTCTCAGCTGTGGGCTCTGAAAGCAGCAGCTGTGATTGGAGCCAGCTCACGCCCACAGCTCCGCAGATATCTCCTCCCATCCTGGTTGGAGACTCCCTGAGGTATTTTCAGGTGTATCCTGTGCTGGGGCTGCCCTGCCCTCCCCAGGTGCCCCCCCCATTCCCCAGGCCCACCCACTGCATGCCTCTCTTCCTGCAGTCGGCGCCTCCGAAATGCTTCCGGACTCAGACCCTGCTCCAGCCTCGACCGTGCCCAACTACCTGTTTCCTACCTCGGAGCCCGATGCCCAGAACGGGGCAGGTGACGCCGGGGACCAGGAGGAGCAGTCTCTGGAGGAGAGAGCCCCCAGAGAGGAAAGTGCCAAGAAGACTGGGAAATCAAAGAAGAGAGGTAAGGAGGGCAGAAGCATGTGTATGTGTTCGAGGGGGTGGGCAGGGCGGGGCTAGGGAGACCCCAGGGGCTGAGTGTGCTGAGGATCATAGGCACATGGAGGGGACCTCTGGTCTGGCAGGGATGGACTAGAAAGCCTCCCTTCTGTGAACCTGGCATTAGCCTGTTGTTCTCTACGCCACTCCTCTCTGCTCAGCACACGTAGACACTCTGCCAGAAATACAAGTAATCTCCATGGGCTGAATCTCAGGCTGAGAGTTCGGACCCCAGGTCTGGACCCCTGGCCAGTCCCTGGACCTCTGTGTGTTCAAAATGAGTCATGCCTTATGCTTATCTCCCTTCAGCAGAGCTTATGAAGCAGACTGTATATGAGAGGACTTTGGGCTTTCCCAAGCCCCAGTGTTACTGATTTACTCCGGGGGCGGCTGGTTGATACTGCCTCCTCAGCGTGGCCACCACACGGGCCTGCGCAGCCACGGCGCATTGGGCTGTCTCTCTATTTCCAAAACGAGGCCAGGCAGATTCTGCTCTTAGAAGGCGCCTTGTTTGCCGGCGTTCCATTTCCCCACACGGCAGCATGCTGTGGAGCTGCCTTTGGGGCCTGACCGTGAGGGTGTGGATACCTGCGGCTGTGGCTGTGGCCATGGCAAATGACTGACCCGCCTCCTGGTCTGGCCTGTCGCACCCAATGTGGCCAGCTCACCACAGCCTCAGCCTCAGCCTGCTCTCCTACCTTCCCCTCACAGTCCGGAAGACAAAGGGCAACCGAAGCACCTCCCCTGTCACGGACCCTAGCATCCCCATCCGGAAGAAGTCGAAGGATGGCAAAGGTATGGCCGGAGTCCGAGAGGTGGAAGGGGTGGCTCTTAACCGGCTGCTAGGGCGCCTGAGCCACTCCTCACTGCCCACCGCTCTGCAGGCAGCACCATCTACCTGTGGGAGTTCCTCCTGGCGCTCCTGCAAGACCGAAACACCTGTCCCAAGTACATCAAGTGGACCCAGCGAGAGAAAGGCATCTTCAAGCTGGTGGACTCCAAAGCTGTGTCCAAGCTGTGGGGAAAGCAGAAAAACAAGCCCGACATGAACTATGAGACGATGGGGCGGGCACTAAGGTAGGAGTTGCCAAGACAGACTCCCTGTCCTGAGGAAATCACCAAGCTCTGAATCGAAGGAGGCTCTCCCACTGTAATGGCGGCCTGCTCCGTCCTCTAAGGAAGCAGGCCTCCTAACGCTCCCATTAGCTGGCCCCACCCCCTTCGGCTCTGAGAGGAACAATCTCCTTCCTCTTGCATCTCTGCCCCCGAAGAGCATTTTCAGCCCCTGTCCCCATCTCCAAGAAGGGTTTTCTTCACTTTGTGCAAACCAGAGATCCAGGGAGCTGGCCTTGAGTTGCCCTAAAGTTGGTCTCTCAGGCATGGGGCCTGCTGAACCCCCGCCATCCATTCCTTCACTCCTACTTCCATCTTCTGTTCACTCCCCCTCTTCAGCCCCAAAGCAAGACGGCGCTGGAACCACAAAACCCTTCGCATACAGCCTTTGAGCCTGCAGGGGGAATTCTGGGCCTTTCATATCCAAGAGTTGGCCTTGCCCTTTCCCTTGCCCCCAGGCTTGCCTCGAGCTTGCCCTTCCCTGGAGGGTAGCATAAAGGGGAGCTAGAGAGGCCAGGCCCTGCACTCAGTCCCTGGCTAACTTCCCACTCTCCACCCCTCATCACCCAGATACTACTACCAAAGAGGCATCCTGGCCAAAGTGGAAGGGCAGAGGCTGGTGTACCAGTTTAAGGAGATGCCCAAGGACCTGGTAGTGATTGAAGATGAGGAGGAGAGAAGTGAAGCCCCGGAAGCACCCCCTCAGGCCACCACGTCCTCCACGAGCTCCACCAGAAGAGCCAGCTCCAGGGTGTCATCCAGGGCTGCCCCCCAGGGCAAGAGCGGCCCTTCGTGGGAGAAGCCAAAGCTCCAGCACGTTGGTCTACAGCCATCTTCGAGCCTGGAATTGGGACTATCTCTGAATGAGGAGATCCCCACTACCTCCACCATGCTTGTCTCTCCGGCAGAGGGCCAGGCCAAGCTCACCAAGGCTGTGAGGTAAGGGCGCTAAAGCAATCACGAGCCTTCCCACAGCCCCTTGTGTCAGGGCTATCTCCAGCTTTTTGCAAAGCTGTGTCTCCAACTTTGTGGAATCCTTACAGAGCTCCGGGGAAGCCAGCAGAGCACTTGTGGACAAGCAAGGAAAGGTGACATACCTAAGGCCACACACTAAGTCACTCCAGTGCGAGCACTTGACTTGAGGAGCTTCTGTTGCCAGCTGGGGCTGATTCTGCTACTCCAGAGTGTGCCCCAAGGAGCTACCGGGGGCTTCCACATCCTGCCCCTCCTGCCCGCTCATCTCCGCTCCACAGGAGAGAATATAGCACATGTACCCGTTCTGCCTTCCACCCTGACAACTCTCACTAGTTCCACTTCTCTTCCTTGCTCTGTGGCCCAAGTTCTCCCTGAAAAGGTTAGGGTTTGTCTGGGCTTTGTCTGCACCTCTTGCTACACTGGAGTGGCTCATAGGACCTCTTCCGAGGGGGAGGCAGTAGAGGGGAAAGGTGAGCTCTTGGGTCACAAGGCCCAGACCCAAGTCCTCGTTCTTGAGTCTAGGGCTTCCTGGCTGTGTGGTCTTGGGGTGAGTTATGTAACTTCTCTGTGACTCGGTTTCCTCAAGCTATAAAATCAAATAATTCTTATTTGGCTCATGTCCTATTTTGAGGTTTGAGCAAAGTGCAACTTGTGAATTGCTTGGAATGCCCTCTGACCTATACTAAGTACTGGATAAATGCTAGCTAGACCAACACCACACAGAACACCCATGACTGTCCCTGTTATGCCCTCCTCCTTGGTTGGTTGGGAGGCCTCTCTTGCCTTAACCGACTAACTCTTTTCTGTCTCGTTTCAGTCCTTCAGTGCCCAGCAACATCCAACTGGGAGTGGCCCCTGTGGGGTCGGGCTCGGCCGTGACCCTGCAGACCATCCCGCTGACTACGGTGCTGACCAACGGGCCTCCTGCCAGTACTGCTGCTTCCACTCAGCTTGTTCTCCAGAGTGTCCCGCCCGCATCTTCCACATTCAAGGACACCTTCACTCTGCAGGCCTCCTTCCCCCTGAACACTAGCTTCCCAGAGAACCAGGTGGCAGCACCAGGGGCCCCACTGATTCTCAGTGGCCTCCCTCAGCTTCTGGCTGGGACCAACCGTCCGACCAACCCAGCACCACCCCCTGTCACGGCTGCTGGACCAACAGGGCCCAGCTCTCAGCCCCCCGGGACTGTCATTGCTGCCTTCATCAGGACTTCCGCCACCACAGCAGCCCCAGGGGTCAAGGAAGGGCCACTGAGGTCCTCCTCCTATGTGCAGGGCATGGTGACTGGGGCCCCCATGGAAGGGCTGCTGGTTCCTGAAGAGACCCTGAGGGAGCTCCTGAGAGATCAGGCTCATCTTCAGCCACTTCCAACCCAGGTGGTTTCAAGGGGTTCCCACACTCCGAGCCTTATGGGAAACCAGACTTTCTCTCCCCCTAGCCGCCCCACTGTTGGGCTGACCCCAGTGGCTGAACTTGAGCTCTCCTCAGGCTCAGGGTCCCTGTTAATGGCTGAGCCTAGTGTGACCTCATCCGGGAACCTGCTGACCAGATCCCCAACCCCAGCCCCCTTCTCTCCATTCAATCCCACTTCCCTCATTAAGATGGAGCCCCATGACATATAAACAAAGGGGTCAGAAGTAGGACCCGTGAGGCGAAGCTGAGCAGCAGTTTTACACAGACTGACTTATGTAGCGTACCTGCCCTTACCTTTCCATGGGATTCAACACACCAGATCCTCAGTGCCCCATGCCTGCCTGGCACTGCCATGGCCAAGCTCTGTCCAGTTTGAGCATCCCTGGCATCAGGCCACGGCCTTCAGGAGGATGTGTTCTTGGCAGGATAATGGGCTGGCTTGGTGATGGAGGGAAAACTGGAGTCAGGGACAAGCCTGTGGCCAGGACTGGCACAGAAACTTCGTGAGAAGAGCCGGGCCTGGCTGCATCTCGCCATCCACATTCCCTGCACAGGGAATTTACTATCCCATATGTGAATATCTCTGTATGTATCTGTGTGAGTATATTTGTGGGTCTCTGTCTTCCTTTTGGGGGGAGGATGGGGTGCAGCTATGTGGTCTTCAAGGTGTGTGCGTGTCCTTCTGTGGGTCAGAGATGGGGATCTTTTTTAAGGGAAAACATCCTCTAGTGCTCAAGATTCAGTTACTTCGAGGCTATGGGGCACAGGTTGGATCGCCAGATCTAGAGATGTCACAGAGCTGGGTCAGGCCCAGGTAAGAGAGCTTCAGTGGGTGCACCCGTTGGGGAAGACACACTGCTGGAGGACAGCACAGCTCATTGGGGTAAAACCACAAGGGGAAGGGAGAGAAGAGAACTCAGGCCTGGGAGCGACCCCCAGAGGCTAGGCCAATGTCCTTTTTCTGGAGTTTGCCTCGTTGCTGGCCACTGGCACCATGCCGGCAGACTGGGACTTGGGCCACCCTAGAGGACTTTGCTGGAGAAGTAGTCAGGGCAGAGCAGCCCTCTAGAGTCAGACCTGGACATGAAGTCCCCGGTCAGGGCTCAGTTAATAGTGAATGTCTGTGCCAGGGTCTTGGGCTGTTTGTGTGAGACCAGCTTCATGCCAGGCAACAGTCCCAGCTGGCATGCTGCCCTGAGTGCCCTGCCCTGGGTTACCTGGTCATTACTTCTCCCCTGAGATTTCCTAGCTGCCAGGCGCTGCCAGGCACTGCTGGGGGCAGTGGGATGGTGACCCAGCTGGGGTCTGCTTCCATTTCTGGAGAGGTGCCACCACCTCGTCCCTGCTGTCCAGCCTTCCTTCTCACCTCTGGCGTGCCAGCCTCTCCTCATTGCCACCTCTCAGACGTAACTGTTCCTCCTTTGCCACGAGAGCAGGGCTCAGCTGACATGCCCTCCCACGGCACCTCTCCAGCTCCTCGCTTCCCTCGCATTGCTATCTGGGGAAGGGTCAGCCTACCCTCTCCAAGTCAGCCCCTCAGCTGAGGGACTGTCCCCCTCCCTCTCTCCCACTGAATGTGCTTGCCCCCTCTCGCCAACTTTGGGGGCAAAGCCATGAAACATTGAGCTTGGGAGCAACTTTACTCTCTGGTGAATTTGGTTAATGTGAATCAGTGCCTCAGGACCTTTGCTTCGTTCTTGGCACAAAAGCACCCACTTGGCCTAACTACCTCCCCTGGCTGTGCTTTTCTCTTCCTCTTGTGGGCATCATTCTCGCACTCTCTTCCTGCTCCTTCCCCGGGGAGGGACCATATATGGCATGCAGGTGTGTTTCCAACTGTTCCCAGCACTTGGCATCGAAGTGCCTTTTTCTAATAAAATCAGCTTCTGATGACAATCTCCTGATGGCTGAAAGTAAGCATCTTGAGAAAGGATCCCTGGTTTTGAAAAAGCAAATTGCACAAAGGCAGGGCATGGGTTAGGGGGTAGCCCTGCCCCTGTCTGAAATCTGCTTTCTGGCCCCACACCCCTGTCAACTCTACAGACACCTATCATCCCAAAGACCTCAGTACCCCATGCTGAGATCCCGTGTCTCCTCAGTTCTGACTGGCACTTGCTGGGCCCTCCTCACCACCGTCCTTTCTCTGCACCTGGGCAGGCTCCTCACTTGCCACTTGAAACCTGGGCATTCCCCGAGGGTCTCATCGTTCTCACTGGCTGGTTCTTCTGGATGAGTCTTGGATGGGCGGCTCCAGCCCTGTCTTTCTGCTAAACCCCTGGCTTGTCTAGTGATCTGCCGGATAATTTCACCTAAATGTCTCTCAGCCCCTCTATCAAATGTGGATCTTTAACTTCTTTCCACACTCACAAAAAGAAAAAACAAACCCAAGGAGAAGGCCACCAGGACTTTTCTATTTCTGTTAATGACATCACCATCTTCCTGCCCTCCTGAGCCTGAACTTTAGAGCTACCTGATAGCTGCCTTCACCTGGGCCTGCCCCCTCTCCCTTCTGAAGTTCAGCGCAGTTACAGCGCCTCCAAAATCCGGCCTGTCTTGCGCATTCTCAGACCCTCTAGCCTGCTCATACCACCTGGAACTGCTCCTCTCTGGACACATCAGTGCCCCACCCAGGGTGACCTGTCACCCTCTCCAATCGATCACAGCACCAACCCTGTTGTTACGCCTTCAGCGACTCCTGGCCTGCAGGTAGGGTGACACTTGAAGTACTTCGCTCCTTTCTAGAAGCCCGGCATTAACGGTTCAGTTGCAGGACCACGGGGAGCTGCAGGAGGGACAGGAGAGCACTTGCGGATCTCAGGGGAGTAAGTGCTGAAGTACCTTAAGTTCAGGCATCAGCTCCACACGCAGAGCCCCAAGTCCTCGGCCCTTCACCATTGGTCCTGTCTGACTTCCCAGCCCACACACACTGCACCTTCCTCCACCCCAGTGTACCGCTCCAAACTGCTGGGTTTGCTCATCTTGGAACTTGCATTTGTTTATAATGTCCCCCCTCTGCTTTTCCTTTCCCAGGCTTTTTGCAACAGGAATGTTCTTCACATTCCCCTCATACCAACTAAATTGTGTGGGTCCTCACGACTCAGCTCATGGAAACTGCCTCCCCACAGCAGCCTATCCTTCAGTGAGCTCTTCATTCTAAACTCATTGCAATATTATTCTTTGACCAACTCATCATGAACAACCTTTGACACCTCCTCTATTATAAACATGAACTGTTACTTAAAGTTTCGCTGACCTGCACCTATTTAGCCAGCCCAATCGGTGTTACCTCCTGAGGGCCAGAGGGGCCTGGATCCCCACAGAACAGGGCACACTGACCGAGATGAGCATCAAGGAATGGCTACTGACTGTGCTGGTGGGAGATGGGGACCAGACTTTAAGGCAGGTGACCCCTGCACAAGCACACACTTACCCTAGGGGCTCCACTGCTGGGCCTACCCTCCTCAGCTCAGTGCCCTCGTGGTACCCGTGCCCTCTTAGCAGCTGAGGCGTGCTACTACTTTCAACGTCCTCTGTCCCTACAAAACCTCCCTGTCCAGTTTCTTGCCCACTCAAAGTGTTAAAGTAGCTAATCTGATAAACTAACCTGTGCAGATGTTATGGGAGTAAGAGGAGAACCCCAGCAGACAGGTTCTATCGCCAGCTGTGTGGCAGCACCCCTGCCTTTGTGATGCTTTGATAGAGTCAGGAGTTGAGTGATGGTCCTTACCTCCCAGCAGCTGATGTGTTACTCCCTCCTCAGGCTCCCATGGCACTTGTATATACCTCTTATTGTAGCAATAGCACATTGTAGCTCTTAATATTATGTGTTTATGTATGTTTCCCCTCCAGTAGCCTGTGGGCTCCTCAAGGACAGGGACTGTGTGTTAGACACTGTTGTATCCACAGCGCCTAGCACAGTGCCTGGCACATAGTAGGTGCTCAATAAATGTTTATTGAAAGGATGGATGAACGAGTCTTGATTCCAGTGATGAAACTTCTGCTCTATACTTTGGCAGGCAAGAGGAGAGGGATACTCCATAATTGGGAACTATCACAGCTTTTTTAACTCCTCGTCTAACACGGCTGGCAGCTACTTCTTTTGCCCAAGTCTACAGCTATCTCTGCACAACAGACCCGCAGGGAACCTAAGTAGCTTCCAGCTATGCCTTGCTGTCACCGGGTGCCACTGATGACGCCCAAACTCCTGCCCTTGGCCACTGCTTCCTTCCCCACCATTTCCTCTTCCCTGGGTGGGACTAAGTGGTGGAAATGTCAGCTCTGTGGGCGTGGCGTGGCGTGGCGGGGCAGGACGAGAAGTTATTCTGAGGTCACAAGCCTTCTGACCCCATCACGTATTCTAACAGGGGCAGTTACCTTCAGCTCCAAAGTCTCTGGGGCTGGAGTGAATGAGTTTATTCGCCTTCCCGCCGTCGCAGCCTGCGAGATTTCCTTGGCCCTGGCGCGCCGGACGTGGATGCCGATGTGCAGCAGGTGGCGCTGTCGAGCCGGCAAGGGCGGGAGGCCTGGCGGAGCCCGAGAAGTGGTTAGGGCGGGGCCTACCACTTCCAGGAGAGACAGCCACGGCCCAGCGCCTTGCTGTCCCACGGCCAGGGCCCCGCACCCCCAACTATTCCTGGGCGACTCTGGCCCCAATAACGACATTCACTGCTCTAGAGCTTCGAACTCTCACCTTGGCCCCTGCCTTCTTTCCAGAGGGAAATTTAGCAAACCATCGAATGTCCTCTCCCCATTGGCCGGCCGGCCTCTGGTCCCGCCCTGGCCCCCTCCCCCAGCCTCACAGAGCAGCAGGTGAGCCCTCGAGGCGCCCGGCCTCCAGCGCTGCGGCTGCCGAGGGCCCCGGCCTGCAGAGCTCCCCCTCTGCGCACCCTGCCCCCAGGCCCGGGGTCTGGTCCAGCCAGACTGCCTTTAGCTATACTTTCATGCACCGCTGCTTTCTACCTTGAAATCGGAGAGCGATCCTGGCGCCTGCGACATCCACTCACCAGCGGAGCGCCCGGACCGCCCTCGGCGCGAGCAGCGCAGAGCAGTCAGGTGTGCCCTCACTGCCATGGCCAGTCACCCTTGGGGTGGCAGCCCCAGCCGCTACTAGGTCTAGTAGGCCTGAACGCTTTGCATCTAGCCTGCCAGCAATGCCTTGGGCAGACTGTACCCTTCTTAAAACACAAGACCAGACACAATAAAAAGCGCACTAGACTTCCTTCCCAGTTATTAGCTTAGAGCAGTGGTGGCGAACCTGTGACAGGCATAGCAGGCACGCAGAGCCCTCTCTGTCAGGACGCCAGGCAAGTCACCCCAGCTTTGTCCCAACAGCCAAGCACTCAGGTTTCATTGCAGTGTTGGTACTTTGCAATAAATAAGTGGGTTTTGGGTTGTAGTTTGGGCACTTGGTCTCTAAAAGGTTGGCCATCACTGGATTAGTCCAGAAAGGGCAGTTTACAGGCCGATTCGCTCCTCCTCTACGCATAATGAGGTAGGGATTTGAATAGTCCTCTCTCTCTCTGGGATATGGAGCCTTAACAGGGCTTCTTCCAACCCCAAAGAGGAACATTCTGGTAAGACACTCATTAACTCTAGGCTTGTGACCTGCTCAGAGGAAGTAGCTTCAGCTACACAGCCGTTGTTGTTTCACCCTCAGTATGACTCCCATCAGGCGGCAGCTCAGTGAACTGAAGAGATGGAACAAAAGGCCTGGGGAGATTAGGTTCTCAACCAAGGTGGGCTGTAGGAAGTGGTGGCACTTCTCCCCACAGCACACTGGAAGGATTGGGAATCCATTTAATAAGAGGCCACTGGTGAGATGGAGCTTTACTGACCACATCCACACCTCCTGCCTTGTTCTTCACAACCTGGCAGAGGGGCAGTGGGCCTCTATAGTGGTTCGGGTAAAGGAACCCAAAAGCACGAACACAAGAAACAGTGGTTTGCTTCTGCTTGTAACTCCGTTCCTTTTTGGTGTCTAAGTGTTTAGTACAACTGTCTCTTCGGTTCACTGCCACCTCCAGTGCCTACTTTTCTTTTTTAGGTATTCACTGGGCATCCCTCCTCCCAGGGAGTCTTTCCCAGCCACCCAGCGCCCTTGCCCATTCCTGTGAGCTCCCATCACATTCTGGGGTGAGTTGAATCCTTATACTCATCACATGGCTTTCCTGACCTACTAAAGTGTCTGATTTCTTAACTGCATATTCCAAAGGATCAACCTGATGTCAGAGCCACTCTGGGGTTGTTTGGGGGACTTCGCAATCAGGAGGTGGGGAGAGGAAAGCCAATGAGGAAGATTAATGCTGTGACTCAAAAACGGTGATGTCCTCTCTATCTTGACCGAAAGACCCAGGTTGGGGCGAGCTTCTGAGGCTTGAACAAGAAAAGCAGCTCACAGTTCACTCCTGGGGGAGACTGGACTCCTGCCAGCCAGACACACAGATCCCCTCACCTATACACACAAGCCACAGCAAGAGATGCTAAGAATGTAGCTTACAAGGGCCTCATCCCAGGCCTCTCCAACATTTCCTTCCCCTCAAACGTAAGAGCACATTCTGGAGCCCTCGGTCAGAAGACACATATCTTCTACCACTGTTTTTCAGAAGCATAAAATCAAGGGTGGATGTCTTGCCTTTGGAGCAGCTGGCTCACTGGAAATCAGAAGCGTGGACGGCCAGCACGGTGCAGGGCAGCAGAGCAGGCACTGGCACAACCATGAGAGGGCAGGGCACTGAGCAGAGCTGAGCAGAGCGTGCAGCCAGTGGGTGGTCCAGGGCAGGGAGGGGAGCCAGCAGGCAGGTGATTTCCTTAGGGAGGATTATTCCCCACCACAGCCCCCTCCCCTCAATCCTGCGACTCCTCTAGGGAACAAGAACGCTCTTGTACACACCGCCCCCCAACCAGTGCAACCGAACCTGGATTCTCAATTTGTCCCACCCGCCCAGGCTCTTTCCAGATCGTGATCCATTGCCTGTAATGTTCACGACAGTCACGACTTTGCTTCACCCACTGTGCCCTGGGGGGGGGGCACAACTACCAAGCAGGGTCAGGGTTTCTCATTTACTGGGGTGCATCTTAACCTCCAGAAAGCCACAAGGGGGAGAAGTGTGAAGATAGGAGACAGAGGCCCTGACACAAGTTTTTCAATACGCAAGTGTTTTTCACTCCGCAGCCGGTTGATTAAAATGAAACATAAAGGGCAGCCAGAATATACACCCAGTGCAAGAGATAAAGGCAAACGTAAAACATAAAATAAACCACACGATACTATGAACCCCAAAAATAAAAAAATTAAAATCCAAAACCCCTCAACTTTATATATATATATTTATATATATATATATATTTAGTTTCTTTTTTTAAAAAGGGAGAACAACTTCAAAACCAACTGGGCAGGATGGTGGGGCTGGGGAGCAGTCCTACAGAAGGGGGCCTAGAAATTCCCCCAGGAACAAAGAACACAATACAAAGAAAATAACCACCAATGCTCCCAAATGGGTCAGGAGCCTCCAGAGAACAGATTGTCCCATCCTCACACTGGCGTTTTTTCCCTTTTTTTGTCCTTTTTTTTTTTCCATTTTCTTCTTTTGTTGTTGTTGTTTAGCACCTGTACAATAAAACTGCACCATCTCCAACCAGAGCCAACCACAGTGAGGCCCTCCTGCCTCGGATGGTACAGACGCTCTACAAGGATTGTTCGGAAAAATAGCAATCGGTAGAAAAATAAGAGTGGGAAAGACATACCACAGAGGGGGTGGGGACAGGGAAGCACCCCAAGCTCCTGCCTCCCTCCCCTCCTCTCCCTGCCGACCAGCACTAGAGGCTTGGAGGAGGCCGTGGGGCCACACACTCAGCCTGTGGTTGGTCCCCAAGCAGGAGCGGAGCCTGGGCCCATGGGCCGGTGACTGGTCTCCCACCTTCGCCTAGGAACGCATACACGCCCAATGTCACACCCCGCTGTGAGTCCCAGAGCCCTCCAGAGATTCCCAGGGAGAACAGCGGGGAGGGGAGCGGTACTCGCTGGGAAAGGGTAGAGATGGGAGTGCAGGGCTGGGAGTGAGAGGCTCAGTAGAGGACAGGGGAAGGCCAGGACAGAGTGCGATGGGTAGGGGTGCAGGGGAAAGATGAAGAATAACCCCGTACTGTGCACCTTGAAGGCAGCAGCGCTGAAGGCGGGAGGGCCACCCTCACCCCTCAGGCCCATTCTCAATTCTCCTTCACTAGAGTAACTCATAAGCCCCTCACCCAATTCTCCTCTCCCCAGTAAAGACCAATCTCAAGATGGCGGGCCCACTGCGAAGGGCAGGGAGGAGAAAAGCTGGCAGTGGAAGGGGAGCACCAAAGCCTCAGGATTTACCCCCAGGCCCTCCAGCTCTGAGCCAGCGGCACTAGTCACATGCTCTTCAGCCCGCCCACCTCGGTCCCTCCCCAGGGGAAAAGCAACCTGGGAAGAACTTTGTCAGAGGAAGGGAGCAGCCCCGAAGCTTATCAAGAAAGGAAAAGAAAGGAAGTAAAGAAAGTCCCTCAATACAACAAGTTGTCTCAAATCATCACAGTGATACAGACTTATCAGAAACCAATGAAACAATACAAATTAAATACTAATAAAATAAATACTATGGAAGACAGAAGAACACAGGGGGACGACGGGGCACTCAGGTTTGGGCTTTTCTCATTTCTCCTTGGAACAGGACACAGCCACCCAGGCCCACATTTGGTCTTGGTCATATGTAAAGATGCCAGTCCAAGGGACCCTGGTGCCACCTCCCACCACCCCCGGGACCTCTTGTCTTCAGACATGGAGTTCAACTTTCCACCCCCATCACCAACCACAATGACAATGATGACAGGGAGATGAGAACTAACTGTAACCAAAAAACAACAAAAAAAATCCAGTCACTAATGCTGGCATTGATAAGGCGGCTTCTTGTTGGTCCATATTATTGCCTCATTCTGCAGTCTGGT